TCAGGTGCCACATACACCGTTTTTATCAATTATTATTTCTATTATATGTCAGGTGCCACATACACCGTTTTTATCAATTATTATTTCTATTATATGTCAGGTGCCACATACACCGTTTTTATCAATTATTATTTCTATTATATGTCAGGTGCCACATACACCGTTTTTATCAATTATTATTTCTATTATATGTCAGGTGCCACATACACCGTTTTTATCAATTATTATTTCTATTATATGTCAGGTGCCACATACACCGTTTTTATCAATTATTATTATTTTATATCATATCGCACATGTGTCACATACACCGGTATTATCATTTTATTGTATGAAGTTGACCACATTGAATCGTTCATTAATTGAAAAGCGTATGAAGTATTAAAAGATTTTATAAGTTGGTTATACATATTTAGTTATTAAGCTAACTTCATGGTAAAAAGAAATAGGGGAGACGAAAGAGAAAAGATTTTGATATCGGACCATCTAGTGACTTCTGAAAAATATCTCTGCATTAAGGACATCTTTTTAAAAAAGACTTCTTACACATTGTAAAGTAGTCTAAAAAAAGTGTATTGTGACATTAAAGCATTAAGAAAGTACAGAGGAAACAATTAATATTCACGAAAGAAATTCAAAATGTCGAATTTACGTGTATATAAGGGTACGCGGTGCCCGACGGCAATGCTGCCCCCCGACGGGCCTCAAACTTGCCTTCGGGCCGCTACCGCGCCCTTTGATTGCACCCCTCCATCGCGAAACATCCGCCACATGCCCGTCGCCAAAACGATTATCTAGCTACGTACATTCTTTTCGTTCAAAACAATAATTTCCCCATCACGCAATTCCAGTCGGACGAAAAATTCATCTGGTCGTGTTAAAAAAAATATATATCCCCTGGAATCTTTTCTATTGCCACATTGATCAATCGTTCCGTTCGAATGGGAAAACAGTAAATGTAGCGTTAATAAATAGGAGGAAGCACAATTTCTGCTGGCCACGCAGCGTTCGCATAATTGATAACATTCCCAATGAAACCTATTTAAAACTTAATTACTTGAACGTAAGGACGATCGTAAATTCACCTTCGGATAGTTGTTAAATGAGATTCATATAATTACACTAACCNATTTATAATTGTGTACGAATGAAGAACGAAACGCATAGATTTTCATTAATTTTTCTTATTTATAAAACAAATAATAACGAACTATACAATATATACAAATTATATAACATAACACAATTCTAATCGTCAAATGCAGCTTGGGAATTACAAACAGTAGGATGATACTTGTCGTATAAGCAGGGAAAACATAAAGTGCAACGACATCGACTACATCTTATGAAAGATACTTTCCCGCATCCACACGGCTTGTTTAGAATGTGTGTTGGAAAACAAATATCATTCACATTTAAAAAAATGTCTCTATCATCGGACAATTTACTTGCGTACCATGCGTAACGCAACATATCCTTAAATACTGGCGCAGATAGTTGGTTATGTATTATACCATGTATTTTTATGGCATCTTCGCATGAATTAATTTCACGTTTGTTTTCAATTAAATATGGACAAGTATGCATGCGTTTGATAAAATTTTTAACCTGCCTATAAAAATAAACGTCGCAGGGTTGGCAAATTGCGGTACATTTAGGAGGTATCACTTTCACTGTACAACTAGGAAGACCTACGTTATCGCTAAAAATTTCATCATACAATACAGGATTTGTTTGACCCCCCGAAGAATCTATAATTAACAAAAATTTTTCTGTTCCCACATAAGGAAGCATTACGTGACTTAAGAAGGACGTGTATAACTGCGTAGTAAGCTTCCCAGATTTGGAGCATGTTACAATTACATTAGAAAACTGCTTCATTAAATCGTCCACAGTTTTCTGTACCCTGGGACGAAACTTTCCTGTGGGTTCTTGCAAGCACAGGAACACGTGAGGTACTAATTCCCCCGATAAGGTAATCGCGTATTGCGCCGTGTACGAGTGACTAACTTTGTTCATATTGAGCTTTTCAACTAGTACGCCATTTGAATTTAATTCGGCAAGTGTTCTGTCATATGTTGCTTGATATTGGCAACACGTCTGATCAGTATTGATAACATATTTTTCATTAAAATTTGGAATTATTGCCTTTGTTTGTGTTTGAAACTTTGTCGCGGCATCCAGTATTTATTCCACAGTCACGCATTCTTTGTGAGAGACGTATTTTACGATTTTCCTTTGGCGAATTCTGTGTCTACGCTTGAATTTGTCGACCCATGCTGCTGATGCTTTAAAAATTAAAGATTCTGATTGGAATTGGGCTGCAGCAGCTAGAGCCCATTGTTGCAAATTCCTTGTTGTCACCTGAAAAGTAAAATCAAAGTTTCATTTCATTAACATAATTTCTTCTTCAAGTACGGTTGTGAAAGAAAAAAAATTAGAAGTAAAGTTGATACGAATGTACACTTACTTGATGATAATTGTTGCGAGCTTCTACGAAACGATCGTACGTCCAGGAATCAATAAGAGCGTATTTATCAAAAATTGTCCCGCAACTTTTTATACTTTCCTCCCACTTTTTCAACTGATCTTTTCTTTTCAGCATTCTTGAACTCTTCGCTTGTAAAGTATGTAAATTCCACTTGGGGTGTTGT